CATATGTAAAAGAATCGTTTCTGGCCACTCCCACGTGAATGGCGATCAGAAAACTTTCCTCACTTGCGTGAACTTCTACACATGACTCCATCCTCCTCTTAACTTTATTGCCTTTAAATACAAAAAGCACTTATAAACAAAAATACTTAGCTTAATTAAGAGTGTAAGTAAACGTATGAAATCAACTAGCAAAATTGTGTTATGAAATGCCAGCTACTGATCTTATGTGTTTACTTTATGTAAAATTGCCACGTACATGTTTCTCGGCATTTTGAGCAGAATCCCTTACTGTATAACATAAACTACTACTAAATTTGGTAGTCAAATCGCATTACGCCATTTCTTTCCGTAATATTGGTTAGGAAGCATCGAACCCAGTCAGTGTCGGTGTTGAACCTTAACCTCGATACCACTGTCAGGTAACACGACGGGAGAATGTTATGTTTTGTGCAATGCTGATATGATGGCAATGGCCTTAATGCATTCAGTGTCAAGTTGCATTTAATTGATCCCACATCTGTTGTCCTTTGAACCCCCCGAACAATATTTGTAGCCAAACCCTTCCCATATGCTCTAGACATTCTGATATGCGTTTGTTTGGTTCGCGTTCTGGTGTCTGTATACCTTTAAAGTTCCTCTCTCTGCTTATATATGCAAATTTTAGTTTTTACATTTCGTATTATAGAAAATTATGAAAAACAGAGACAAAATTTTAAAATGTAATCTAGACATAGTTAAACCACCCGAAAATATAAATAATAGAGTGGTTGTTAAAATAAGAAATAAACAACACAGCTTTTGTTATAAATGTATGTATTTTTCAAAAATTGCAGACTGAGACCCGTTTTCTCAATGGCTGATTAGCAGCCATCTATCAGTTAAATTCTGGTTAAATCACTATAGACGTGATTAAGTTAATCAAAACTTAACTGACTGATGTCTGATAACACTGTGGAACATTTTTGGGATTATTGTCTGGGGGGTGAGAAATTCCAACCCTGACGATGGTACTAGGTCAGTATAGTAAAACCCTTAAAGGGTTTAGCGTTCGTATGTGTCAGTTTTTTTTAATGACCTTATGACCCCTTTTTTCCTTATCTTGATGTTTGTTCGCTTAGTTGTAACATTTTGCCGAAAACAAAAAAAACAAAAAGGAAAAAGAGGGTCATAAAACAATGACACATACGAACGCCAAACCCTTTGAGGGTTTTACTATACTGACCTAGTACCATCACCTTGACTTGGAATTTCTCAAACCCCACCTTAACTGTTGTACTGCGTAATCAGACATGGAGAAAACAGCCCTAAGTCGGTGCTAATTAATGAATACATATACATTTTTTTTTGCTATTTAATGTTTATAATACAAATGTATATACATAGCAATCGAAAATATATTATAGAAAGTCCTTTCAGGAGATTAGCAGTGGGAACATATTTATGATATATTTTATATATATATATTTACGTAATTATAATAGGTCCGTAATGTTCCTAATAAGTAATGCAAGCATTATATATTAAGTTAAAGGTGCATGCGGAAAATACAGTTATTGTACTATATTACATGATTTTATATAGCATGATACCGTACTGTCTAATCGTTTTCCCCAACCTCGTCATATTTCAGCAAGGTTATTAATATCATATTTTTCCACTACTATTATTCATAATATAGATAAATATTAACTAAATAGTTATATCACATGCATATAAACATACTAGAAATTCATGTTCATCGGAAAATATTCACCACAACACAATTTTCACAAAGCCTCTTACTTTATATTTAACCACCATCAAACCTAAATAACACTAACATATACTACTTATTAGTAAATACTCTTATTTTATAAATCTGCAGCCATAATATACTCCTATTTAGATGTATTTAAATATACGTACAAATATAATTTTAATTTTCGATTTTTGATAATGAAACGAAAACGTGTATCCACAAGTAATAAATTTTGACAAAAAATATTTAAATTAAAAAATATGTATATGTAATTCTACAGTGATATGTGCTCAAGGCCTGATAGCGAAGGATAAAAGCGGTACCAGTGATCCCTATGTGACGGTGCAAGTTAGCAAGGTGAAAAAGCGTACACGTACAATGCCGCAGGAGTTAAATCCTGTGTGGAATGAGAAGTTTCACTTGTGAGTACATAATGTCTGTCTGTTTACCTTACTACCTCTATGTCAGTATAATATCCTTGAATGTTAACGTGTATGCCTGCGAATTGTTATTTAAATTATATGTATGTATCATTATTATATGTTTTATTTAAATATATATTAATATATTACGTATGTATAAATATACATCAGTGATCTGCATGGGTGTAATCAGAATACACAATTAATTCACGCTATTGCACTTACGCACGTTTATTATAACATGCATTAAAATCGAAAACATTCGAGTGATTTTCTAAGTGCATTTTGTAATAAGTGCAGTTCTATTTTTGTGAAGGTTTTTGGACAACTGGCAATACCTTATCGTAATTAATCAGTAAGAAAGGACTAAGTTCAGGTGTAACCGAACATTTTATAGTTTTACGTAATTTACAATTTTAAAACCGTGAATGCATTACAATCATATTTGGTACCTTAGTAACATATCGCATATTAAATACATACGCTTCACAACTCGAAAACTGGCAAATGTTGCAAAAAATAGTCGTTGTAAAAAATATTGAAATTTTAAATTTCAAATATTATTGGTTTTCTTACATAACAGAGAAATTAAGAAACATTTTTGAGTTAAAACATCCAATAACAGTGAGGAATTCACAATTATTTCATCGAAAGTGACACATTAAAAATAAACATTGGTTAAAGTCACGGCCGGCCTGAGAATATTCCGCCCTAATCCAATGCCAAATTCTGCGCGCCTTCTAAGTATATTTTGCCTTTAAACAAAAAACAAATTTATAACTTTTAAAAATTATTCAGCTAATTTTAATAATTGTTAAAAAAAATATTATAATATGTAGTTTAAATATTTTCGTGCCTTTAATTTGGGGAAATCATGCACAACTGTTTTAAGAGTTTGTGACACTTCACTTTCAATTGATAATGTTGCCAAGCCTGTCAGTCGTTCTTCACACATTTTAGGATATTATTATCTTAATTTATTTGAACAAATATAACAAAGTTCGGTGGGGAACTTTTATCGGCGATTGTTCTGCTATCAGCTTGTACTTCGTTGCATAAATCTGTTGCATCTGCTAATATTCTTCAATCCAATGTGAATTATTGACATTAACATTTTTTTACAATGTACAAAAATGGCCTTATATGTAAAAGTTTGAAACTGTTCAACATTAAATAAAAGTCCCCAAAGTTTAACAACTTTCTTCAACAAATCATATCTTTCATTGCAATATCAATAATGGCAAAACTAAAGTGGAAATTAATATCAAAATTTTGCTTTTCGAATGTATGAGGTGTGTTCAAAAAGTATCGCGAATTTTGTGTTTTTTCAAAAATTATTTATTTATTCATGAATATCTATTTTGTCCCCTTCAAAGTAATCCCCATGAGATATTATACACTTGTGCCAACGGTTTTTCCAATCTTCGAAGCACTTCAAAAAATCATTTTTTTTATCTTCTTCAGCTCCTCCTTCGATGCCGCCTTTATCTCGTCAAGAGAAGCGTAATGTCGTCCTTTCATGGGCCCCTTCAGTTTAGGGAACAAGAAAAAGTCACAGGGGGCCAGATCTGGGGAATACGATGACTGCGGCAGCATTAGTGTGTTGGTTTTGGCCAAAAAGTCGCGCTCAAGCAACGATGTATGAGCAGGGGCGTTATCGTGGTGCAAAAGCCAATTTTTGTCACATCTTCTCGGCCTTCTGAGAACATTTGTACCACCGACAAACGTTGCTTCGGTCCAAGGTAGCTTCTCCTTATACCACAGTCAACATTCGGAATGTATCCGCGCACTTAATTTCATTTTTCACACAAAATTTGATACAGATTCTTTGATCCATTCTTTGAATAGGTCAAAATCGCAGACGATCCAAAACACGAGCAAGCAAAGCAGCTGTCAACAATTAAGTGAACATTCAAAATGGCCGAGCTTGTCGGCATAAGTGAGAGACATGAGTACCAATACGGGGGGAATTCGAATATACGTAACCCGCGAAAATTCAAAATTCGCGATACTTTTTGAACACACCTCGTAACTAACGGTAAAAATAGGCATGAATTCTAATATTCAAATGGCTAATGGCTCAAAAACTACTCAAATCTGCTATAGTGTGTGGCCGTGTTTCATTTATTAAGATTATTTCAAATTTAAAAGCGTAGTTTTGATCAAAATACTATTTGTTGTTATATCAAAACAGTATCAAATTTTCTAAATACTACTGTGATAAAATTGAAAGTTGAATCTTTAATTCATACTTCGTGTGTTTTTCGAATCGGTAAATTATGTAAGTTGGTAGTACTGTTAGTGACGTCATTGCTATATTTCACGTCAACATATTTATTAGTATTTGAGATACGTGTCGTTTTATGAGGCTCTAAACGTGAATTCTTCCATTTCTACTATGTCTGAATTTATTGAACAAAGAAGTGCGATAATGCACAATCTTATATTGATTTGGTTATCATGATAATTTCGCTACATTTTCAACTAATATCGTGCCGCAACCACCGCTGTCGCCTGATTTACATGCGTGTAACTTTTGGCTATTCAGCAAATTCACATGACCACTCCAAGGACACCCTTTTGACTCAATTGGTGATATAGAAGATTAATTGAAGAAAGCTCTGATCTGATCACGACAGATGATTTTTACAAGTGCTATGATGACTGGAAAATTCATTGGCATAAGTGTATTGCAGGGGGAGGGGAATACTTTGAAAGAGATGAAATGGACAAAATTCACCTTTCAATTTGATCACAGTAGTATATATAGAAATGGAGGCAAATGTGAATATAGATGAAATTAGCTGTCTGCATAAAAATGCTTTCGTAAAATTTTGCGCCTACTTGTATTATAAATATTTTAGACAGAATACGTATGTATGTAATGGAAATGCTAAGATTTGATGCTAACACCAATAATAAGATTTCTTCGCTGCCCTTCAGAAAGGCAATATAGTAATTACCAAGTAGTAAACCGGTCTTGATGTATATTTTTAATGAAAAATCAAAGATATTTATAATCAACATTTTGTACTTTTTATTTCCACAGCATAGCATTTTTCCAAATAGAAAATTTGGAATGTCTTATAAATATTATTTATTATATTAGTTTGATCATTATTATTGTTGTGCCTGAATAGTACCTGATTTATATATTCATTTCTATACTATTCTTAAAAGTATTCCCTAATATTTTTCCTTATTCCCTTCTCAGGGAAACCATATCACTTTTTGATTAAATAAATGCCTGTGAAATGATATATATATACAATTTGTAATGAAACTACAATTTATATAAATAAAGAATTACAAAATGTCTTCTTATATATAACAAATAAGGGAAGGCATGGTTCGGGTGTAACCGAAAATTGTAATTGTAAATCTTGCAACTTATAGGAATCAAAGTCCAAGAAATTCGTTCATGAAAATATGGGAGTAGAGGGTTGACCGAAATTTATTGGTTCATTTCATGTTACTTAACTTAGTTGTACTTATGATTGCATAGTATATAAAATGCAAGTATCATAAAAGAAAGCTAGCACGTTTTCTAAAGTTTTCAATTACTAAGAAAACCACAAATGAATGCAATTTTCTTGTTTCATTAATATTGTTATTGATAAAGCAGAATATTTTCGTAAATTTGTATTTATTTCAAGTAATTCAATTCACAAAACAAAAATTCAGGCAATGCAGTTGTGTTTGTTTTGCACTTCAATTGTTAAAATTTTTCTTTACAGTTAAATGGTAAATTTGTTTACAACATAGTAAACTTTATGACCCCAATTCAACACAGAAAAATGCTACCGTTTGGCCCATGGCCTTAGTGTGAAAATGTATGTATAGATTCTGTTGACAACTAAGAAACTTGCGTTTACTCATAAAGATGGTTCTACAAGCCAGTATCTGACTTGGTGTGGAACTTGGGCTATGTGGCACCGATTTTCAAATTTGTTGTGTATCATTATCTTAGTATCACTAGAATACATTCCCTTTTTATGCTTCATTTCTACATGGTTATATTCTACATTGATAAAGCTTATAATGTCATACTATAAACGGCAAATATTTCACTCGAGTTGAACAAAGCAACTGCCGAATTTACATATTAAAGTACACTTATTTTATATATCGCTGACTCATATTTTTCACACCAACTTTAATAATTTTAAAATTAAAGTATAGCGAAAACTTTTATAAATTGGGGTAAACTTTTTGATAAATAATTACGTTTTTGACATCAGCTTAAACGCAAATCTGCTCTTTAAAGTCTTCTAAATAGAAAGAAAAAGTAATGGATAAGAGTTCCACTGACTTCTGGTGATTTACTACTGGGTGGTTGGGATTCAGGCGAGCTCAGGCAGCGCAGGTTACCACAACACTTCCTTCTTGTATGTCCTTTTGTCGAAATAAGGCTCAAATATCTCGGATCTCACACCTTTAAACATGCAGGTGAAATAGCGGACGTAGAAATAAAATACCTAGACAGATTTGTGATACGCTCAAGGCGATCCGCTGTCTCGGGAGAGGAGCACTCTAACATAAACTAGATTAACATATATTTGATAGAGACATTGCTGGTATTTTTCGCTTATTTTAATTGATTATTTACGAAAAACTCTTATGTTAATTTAATTCGCGAATGACAGATACCAGCATCGCCTACAACAACTATGAAGAAACTACGCATGATATTTCTAATCCACGCAATTGACATACTCGTACATATACTAGTGCCTGTGACAGATTTTTATTTATTTATTTATAAATGTGAAAAAAAATAATACAATTATTTTATTTACACTAAAATTAAGTTCTATTGTCCACGCTTTATATATTTAAAATCTATATACATGCTTAAGTAAAACAAAAACAAAGTTCTTATCTAAGCTAGGTAGGATGTCATATGAAATGTTTTGGACCGTATTTATCCAGATATTTTGATATTTTTGTAACGTTCTCGAGAGACGTAGTTTTCAAAAGTGTTGTAGGTGTTTGGTTAT